TTAATGTTAAAAACATTTTTTTCACCCTCATTCTCTCACTAGTACGCAGAATTTTCTAGAAGCTACATGATTCTGATGTATTTATCAGATTCAATGCAAAAGCTGATACAAGACTCTACTTGTTTTCTGTTAATCCCAATATTGAAAAGTTTTAAATGTTATTCTTTACAATTCTTAGTCACAGAAACTGTTACTCATTTAATGCGTATTAATGATTTGATGAATATTTTTAAATTTCATTAGTTCAGTTTCTAGTATGGTAAATATTGATATAAACAAAAGCTTTTTGGGGTCTGCAAAAACTTTAAGAGTAGAAAGCCATTCTGAGAGTCAAAGATTGAGAAGCACCATAAAAGTAGATTCCATCTGCAGTTAATAGCAAATATTTCCTTTATAATTTGAGAAAACAAAAGAAAAACACACTAAATTGATTATCCAAGTGCAAACTCTAATTTGACTTTCACAGAAGGGCAAAGCACAGGAATTAAGTAACGCAGTTAGAGGTAAGAAGAATCTGTCTTCAACCAACCCCTGCCCTGCCGTCCCTACTCCCGCCCATCCCCATGTCATCTGCAGAGTAAAAAAGAGCAGACTTCCTTAATATTAATTTTAACCTCTTTCCTTTATCATGTTTTACTAATAATCTATGCAAATATGAACAGTTTATGTGATAAGGAAAGGTACGTTGTGATTGGATGACATGTAATTGGATTATCTGAAGCCCCTAAATGAGCCCCACTGACTCAACTGATAAAAAGCCATTCTGTGGTATTTTCTATATAAAAAGTTCTACAAAAACAGAATACTGAAACAAAACAAGAAAAAGCGAAGACGGGCAGGATAAGTGGGGTAAAGGAAGACATAGGAAAGGGAAAGGATTTCATTTTGGCCAACAAAATTGACCATCACGTAATTCAACTCTGACATGTTTAAAATCCAGATGGTGACCCATACGATAGAAAATTGCATTCTAAAGGTTGATAATCATTAGAACCTCAAAATTTTTCAAATCTTGACATCTTTTTATAGGAAAAAAAATCCAAAGCTGCTGATTAGGTACTCAGGCTATGCCATAAATGTCCCTCTGGTAACGGAAATAATAATTGTGAAAATCAATGTCAAAATCCACCAGAAAATCTCAGCAACTCTGATATCTGGACCTGATGTTTCTGTGAATGTTTAGTAACACAGAGACATTCCAAGAGATGAGCAAAAGTCTATGGGAAGCCACTTTGGCCAGAGAAAGACAGACAAGACATCAAGCAGGTCAAGAGACGCCAAGGGAAGGAGGCAACGCTGGCTCAGCAAAAATCAAAGTCACACGTGGAATCCACAACAGGAGGAAATTCAGAAGCAATGAAAGCCAAGGACAGCTTTCATGGCAAAGCACACCCAGAATACTGAACAGCACAGACAGGAAGAGGCATCCACAGAAAACAACAGAGAATCAGCCAAAATGCGTTTTAAGGCAGCTGCAAGTTACAATAATGGTAAGGGCATATACAGAGGCTTCCTGAGGAGACAAACTACATAGGTTTCATCAGTCCCATGCAGGGGTGTGCTGCTTTTGTGGGTGGAAATATAAGGTAGCATAATACAAAGAAGTAAAAGCATTAAGTTATTTTAATTACAATTTTTATAGTAGTCGTTTTTATTATAAATGAAGTATTTATCCACCATTTAAAATTCTGGGCTGTTACAAAATCAACCAACAAATTCAGTTTATAGACTGGAAAATAATGAATCTCTATGACACGGTAAACTAAATTTTATGTATCTTTTTAACATGAATGTGTTATAAAACTCAATTTGCTACTTAAGTTTCTCTCGTCTCCCTTTTCTCCTTTATCAGACTTAATACCCAACACTAAACACCAGTAAGTCCTGTCTCTAATGTTAAATTCAAAGCACAGAGGACAGGGTTCAACATAGCTACAGCATCCTAAGGATAAACCCTTCAAGTACTAGCCTGGAATCTGTCGATACCAGACAGCCCAGTAGGACATGGGCTGAAACTGCTACTAAAACTCTCCAGCCACGACCTTACATGGTAGATTTTGGTCACAATGTTTTTAATTAAAAATAATGCCCTGTGGCCGGGGAGATAGCTCATGAGGTCACGAGTTTGATCCTTGGTACCAGAAAAAATAAAAATAATAATAATGCCATAAGTAGTAGCCTACTTCTAACCATGGTCAAACTATGGCCAACCATTGACTTGCAAATCTCTTGAAACATCCATACTAATTATGAAACTGGCCAGATGACTCTCTTCATTTCTATCCCTCTCTTCGGAAAAACTCGCATCTGGCTAAAACTTCCAACCTCCTGAGAATGCCAACCCTGCTGCGAGGGACCTGCCCACCATGCTGCCCCTAACACCTGTCTTCAGAGTGGGGAATCCTGCTTAGTGGCAGAAGCAAAACTTCAATCCAAGGGAGAAAGCTGGCTCGTTAGAGTCAATACAACACATGTGAAGATTAATCAGGAAAAGGAATAGGCTTGAATTTATTCTGACATGTCAAGTTCTTTTTATTCATAACATTTCTAATAAATATTAAAGTGACCCTGTCTTTGCTGACAGTTGAAGCAACACTTAACACACTCAGTTACAAAGCAAAAACAAATTCAGATTTGTTTTAATCCAAATTTATATGTGCACATATTTAATTTGCATACTTGTTTTTTTAATTTAAAAATAATTTTTAAATAAAAGGGATTATTCATCAAATTATACAAGTGACCATAATTATATGTATGTAATGTAAGGGAATAACTTACTTGCAGACAAATAAAAAAATTGCTAAAATAAATCATTCACATATATTTCAAACTAGGTACTAAAGGACATCAAAGGTGTTCTCAGGACAAAAAAAGCTGCATATACTTCAGACTATTTTGTCACAGTTTAATTAGTGAAATTTAACTATAATCCAACATAAAATTAAACTAAAATTAAAATTCCCAGTGTTTTTCACCCCATTTGCTGCCCGCTAACTATGTCCTCAGTTACGTCTGACCAGTGGAACCTGACCTAGCCTGCTCTATCACAGACAAGAGTTCATTTTCACAAACATGTGTTGTTCATTTCTGGTCCTTACACAAATGCCACAGAACTCACGGTGGATCAGAAACATTATCGGTGCTTGCTGAATGGGTAAATAAATGCATTAGGGAGGAAGAAGAGAAGAAAGAGAGGAGGGTACTGGGGAGGGAGGAACCCCAACACGTAACTGGAAGCTATCCTGGAAGTTACTTATTAGTATGCATGCCTTCATTTTATTAGTAAAAGTATTAGCAGATCACAGAAAGTCATCAGTTCTTAAAGGAAAGATTCTCAGAAACGGCCAAAATAAATGACTCATCCCTGGCCCATGGAAAGCATGAAGACAAGCTGGCTTTAGCAGTTCTTAGAAAAGTCATGCTGCTGCATTGTTTTTACGACACAGTCATGAGGAAGAAAAGGAAAATGGTTCGTTAGTTTAAAATTAGTAAAATTAGTTTAGTCTCTAAGAAGAGTATTCTGGCACTGGATCAAACAGTGGTGGTGATGGGCTTGGTAGGAGAACAGGAAGGAGCAGGAGAGGAGCAGACACTAGGGGTCACTTTGAGTGCCTCCACTTCCCGGGGCCATGCTAGTAAGTCAGGCAGACACTACCACAACAAAGCAAGCCATCATGATGCAAGAAAAGCTTCACCCGGAATGAGGATTAAAAACTTACCACCTAGAAAGAAAACGTGTTTAAAAATGAATCCACAGGGAAGAGAGAAAAGAAACACAATTCCACACCGTTAATATTTATGATAGCAACTACATATTTAATAAACTTGTAATAGTATGCATTGCAAACGAGGATAAAGAAAACCAACATATAAAACCTAAGTGGACAATTGTAAATGCAGAGTACATGCTTTTAAAATCAAAGCTGAGAATTAATTATCACCAATATGGTTCAGAAGATAAGCAAAGAGACTGTTATTTATATTTCCCCCATTTTAGGTTGCTCATTTTGCTACTGTAGCCAATTGTTAACTACCTATAATTGGCATAATTTTACAAAATTAAAATGTTCATTTATATAAACTATCTCTTCTACCCTGGGCACCAGACAAGAAGCATGATGTTTTATCTCATTTCTCTATGATGCCTCAAAATTGTCTGGTGATAGTGCAAGAGAAAATGCACTGGATCTGTGCTTCTGAATACATGGGTTACAGACATGAGGGGACCCACAGCTACATGACATCAACCATGCTGAGTTAGCTGAATAAACAATAAACCTTCACTTTTAACTCTTGCTATACTTCAAAATTACTGCGACTAACAAGATATAAGTTAATTTCAAAGTATTATTAAAGTCATATTAGCTTTAAAAGAATCTAGAAAGCCAGGCATGGTGGCACACACCTATAATCCTAGCACTCAGGAGGCTGAGGCAGGAGCATTCCCATATATTTGAGGCCAGCCTGGGATACAGAGTAAGTCCAAGCCAGCCTGAACTACATAGTTAGACACTGTCTCAAACAAACAAACAATCAAACAAAAAGTATAGCATTCAGTAGAAATGAGTTCCACTAAACATAACAACCTCTATAGAAAGTCTTTGAGATTCTGAACATTGAGCTATTATTAGATTTTTTTTCCAGTTATTCCACATTTTCTCAGTCAACAGATGCTAAATATAAAATTATCATCTGGCTGATGGGACTTTAATTCTGATTTGAAGAGGATCCTTTGTACTAGGAATCCCTGACTTAGTTGAAGTTATACGTGGACACACTTAAAATTATCTCCTTGAACCAGAAAGCTTGGTTAAGGACTTCAAGACTAGAAGGAAGGAAGGCGCAGGGTATAAATGAATAATATATAGTGTATAAATGTTATCACAAAACAGGGACAGAAAAAAGTTGTGAACACTTCCTTGTCTAGCAAAGAAAAATGAAGCCACGCTAATCCACAGAGTGACCACTCTTTTAACAAGAGTCAAGAATAGCAGCACCTTTGTTTCCACACAGTCTATTACAGCCTTCTTCCCCAAGATGTTCCCTGAAGGTATCCATGTTCTTAATCTCTGTAGCCTCTGGAAACATGCTACGTACAGTGTGGTACCTCGTTCACGGACTTCATTTGTTCTCTGGTTGTAGAAAAGACAGTACATTTGTGCTTGGGTTAGAAAGATGGCCACAAGGGGCTGGCGGTTTAGCTCAGCTGCATAAGTGCCTGCCTTGCAAGCAGGCAGTCGTGAGTTCGATCCCCAGTACCAATAGGAAGGAAAAAGACAAAAATAAAAAAAGAAAGATGGCCACAGTCCTGTTTGTCACCCAACACGGAGTTTACAAGCAAACAAACAAAAAATTTGCCAAGTGCCTCTGTTTGTGAACTAAAATGTTCACAAACAAAAGTGTTTGTGAACCGAGGTACCACTGTATCACTAAATTACTCTAAATCTACCTGCTATAACTTCCTCAAAAGAGCTTTTGAGTTCAGTATTTCAAAGATAGTTTTAAAAGTATGATTCTATCACTAGATTTCCCTTTTCTTGGCAGCTGAAGCAACCCTTTCTCCAGCCCAGTGATCTCAAAACAGCTGATTCAACTTAATGGTCTCTCACACAGCTCCATCTGCTTTTTTTTTTTTTTTTTAAGAGGAGCACTCAAGTTTCAAATAAGGTAACTGACTAGCCTTTTGGAACAGTAGATTCAATATCTAAAATACAATTAGCTTTAATGTAGCTTTTTAAAGATGATAGCATAGCGAATCAAGGGATAATATACTCTTCAATTATACAGAAACATGACTGTTTATCTTCAAAACAAATGGATCTATGGCTATAAAATAATTTTTCTTCTAAGTAAGTATATACAATCAAAAAAGTTATTTTATTTAATGAGAAGAATTTAAGTGAGCACTAGAATTTCACTTCGATAAAAGGTGGCTTATAATTACAAATTTAACAAGCTGATTTGCTAAATAGCAGATGAGAACCTAATTAGGTTATCTTGGTATCATCTTTTGATTTTAACTAGTTAAAAAGAAAAACTAGATGTGCTGAGGAATGGAGAAAAGGCTGGATTCACAGCATTATATTTCAGACACTATAATGCCTAACCAAAAAAAAAATGTAACAAAAATAAGTAAAACCTCTGTCTGCCATCTGGTGGACAAAAAAGATACAGACCATACACATTATAGCTAAAACCACTAAAGCCACCTACAATGTAGCATATACTTAAAATTGTGCTTGCATATAAAATAAAGTATTTTTTTAAAAAAACATTTATGCTTACTACCTGCTGTGGAAACTGTATAAAGAGTAAGAGGAAATGTATATGAACAAAAAACGCAAAGAATAGCCTCTGATATATTTAGATTTCTATAAAAAAGCCTCACAAAACTCACTTACGTGGCCATGGAGATCAGTGTTCAGAAGCATCATCGCACAGGTCAGGCAGTGGACTCCATCTAAGGACAGAAACACGGACAGAAGGCATTAATGTACTGCTTAGTTTTGGAATCTTGCTCACAAAAACACAACAAAAACACAACTAGCTATATTTGTTTGCAGGGATACAAAGCACATGTAAAAACAAATTATCAAAAGGCCCTTAATGTGAAGAGCTGGATTCTACTGTTAATAAGTTGACCTGAAACCTCTACATATGCAATGTTAAATTGTCCCCCAATGTCCTTTCACATAACAAACAAATCAAGTTCCAAAACTTTACACTAAGAAAACAATTAAAAATCCATATAAAGTACAGCAGAGAAACACCACTTATAGTGAGAGACAAGCAAACATGACCTTCCAAACACACAATTCTGTTACGTGAAGGCCACATACATAGAAATGGAAAGACAGTTGATAATAAATTTTTATACAAAAACACTTTACAAATTCAATTTCAATACAAAAACATCTGGAAAAATACACACCATGATATTAAAAGACATTCTTTCTCAGTCATGAAATTAAAATTTCTATGTTTTAATTTACACTTTCTCAACTTTCTAATACATATGGTATAAAATGAAAATTCTTTGTGTTCCTTTTTTTTTACATTTTAGAGGCAAGTAAATTGAAAAGTGAAAGTTAAGGAAACTAAAGAACATAGCTTACTGTGATCTTGCTTGCCATGCATTCAAAACAAGCACTTAGATTGAATGGTTTTGTATAGGATATACAAATCAAACCAAAAGTCAAATATTGAAATAATGTGTGAAGATTAAAAGATTAAATGTTCAAGGAAAAAGCTGCCCAAACAAGGACTTTTTATTACTTTATACAGTAAAAGAAAAAGCTTAAAGAGTTAAGTTTCGGGGCTGGGGGTTTAGCTCAGCTGCATAAGCACCTGCCTTGCAAGCAGGCGGTCATGAGTTCGATCCCCGGTACCAATAAAAAAATGAAAAAGACAAAAAAAAAAAAAAAAAGAGTTAAGTTTCTCATTCCTAAATATCAGAATTAGTGTTAGTTCTCTATTCTTTTCCCCATATTCTCAATCCAAGTACAGTAGGCAGTCGCAATTTCAGATGTAGAAAAAAATCCTAATAATCTAAGTATACAGAAAGTACTATCCCATTACTGAATTCACAAATTAAAGACTTTTTAAAAAGCATACCTTTTGATAGAGTATGCAATCTGTATTATGAATGTCTCTAAGCACATGCTACTAAATATCTAGAAGTATATATTTATGCCAATTTCACTTCATTATCATAAATTCTACACTTATTTTTTAAAACAAGTTCCTGAAGTTTTATAAAATTCATGAGCCAACTCTCAAATGTCCTTATCAATACCAGTTCACTAAACAAACTCAGTAGTACAAAAGGAGTGCTCAGTATTCTTACAATTAATATTAAACAAAAGCACCAAAGAATCACAGTTTCCAGTTAGGCTTGTAAACATTTCCAAAGCAAACTAAACATACACTTTCATCAAGGACAAGCAAAAGACGCATTAGAGGAAGAAAAAAAATTATGCACTTTTCCTTTGTTTTTTTTTTTTTTTTGAGAAAAGGCCTTGCTGTGAGATTCAAGCTGGCTCTGAAATCATTACAAAGGCCAAGCTGGCCTCAAACCCATGACAATTCTCCTACCCCAGCCTCTAGACCTCTGGGATTATAGGTGAGTGCTACCATGTCTGGCAAGAAATTTGTTTTCAACAATTAATTTACTACAATGTGCTTTGTACATAAAATCTGTGAGGGGGAAAGCTGACCAAGTAAGGAAAATTAACATACTTTAGGAATGCAAAATTTAGAAATGCAAAAGAAGAGTAAGGAATATGCTTTCATTAAATATGTGTTCAAGGAATACTTAGTGACATGAAAAAATAAAAAGAAAGGAAAAGATAGTGGAAAACAAAACTGCAAAGATTCTAATTTGACATCAAATATTACAAAAATGGAAATCAGTTAAATTAACTAATATTTGTCTTTAGGTAATTAGAGATATTTAGATGATCTTCATTTCCTCTCTAATTGTGGGGAATCACCTGGATGACTCTCCTTGAATAAAGAGCAGTTACCTCTACTTTGGCTAAACTTGGCCCCCTGTCTGCATGTCCTGATATGCACAGAGCTGGCTGGGCCATTTCCTTTTTCCCTTCAAGGGCTCTAAGCAATGTAAATAGGGCTGATGCGAAATCTTTGAAGCTACCATACAGTGGCTGTTTCCCTGCCCTGTCAGTCCCTAAACATGGTGGAGCAGGTCGGGATGCAGAACCACTGCTCCAGGGCTGTCAACTGGGTCGAGCCCCAAGATCAGAGGCTATGACTTCCCAGAGCACAAAAGTTTGCACATCAGAGCTAAAGCACAACCTCCTAAACATTAAATGCTATCTCCACTTGTGTTATGCAGATTGGTCTTTCTGCCTGTCCTCCTCCTGTGGATTGCAGAGGTGTTTTCACGCCTCCTACATAGCCCAGTTCATGGTACTCATGTATTTCCTACCATTCTCATGGTCACTCATTCTCAAGCCACATTCTTTACAAATTAATAAAATCCAGGTTAGGCCCTAGGTCAAGCCTTTTATTTCAATAAACCTTCATCTGGGCTGGATTCAGAGGACTCCTTGGTTCCAATAACTATAAATACGTCTTAGTGTCTTTATTCTTGCTATGGGTTGTACTGGAAGTGCTAGACTGGAATCAACTCACTTGAATTTCAATAACATTTCTATGGGATTACAAATATAAACTTCTCGGACTGCAAAAAGGATGGGAAAAGGATCTCCATAATAATTTCCTTTATTTTCACAATAAAATAAACTTTCAAATTAAGAAAATCAACCATTGTTATAAAAAAATTCAACAATTTCTACCAGATTACCTTGTGAAGCAATGGTATCAGGATTACAATAAAAATATCTATTGGAGAAATGTATTAAAACTCTCTCTCGTTCTTGAGTTTCTCCCACGAGAGAAAATGCTTTAAAGAAATACCTAAAGAAAAGAATTAAGGGGAAAAATAGCATTTTAGAAAACTTACTATATTTTTGTCAATTACAGTTAATTTATATAAATTTAAGATTATACAGTTATCCTCCCCCCAAAAATCACTTAATAGATGGTCATTCAATATAAATTAATATTGAGGTTTAAGTGTAATAAAATGTTACATTAAATGTGATATAACAATAATAGGGTGGTCAATACATCAAGAAAGCTTGGGAAAAGCAGAGATTTTCCTATTACAACTAAATGTCAAGTAGCCAGCTTTAAAAGGTCAGATTAAAAAAAAACACTTAAGGTTTAATTCATGCTCACACAGAGTGCTTTAAAATTCTATATATACAGAATTGTTCTTTTATCATTTTGTTACATGGTAACATCTTCCAAACTAATATTAAAATTATGTTACTTTATATACATATTTCTGTTTAATTTACCTACTATAATATTTTGTTATTAATTTATTATATGAGAAGTAAATTGTTGATTTTATTCCATTCCAACATTGATTCCAAAATATTGTAAAAGACTATCTAGCAGTTATAAGCAATTGCTTAGGAAAATATCTAGAATTTTGCAATCAAACTGTATTGTTGGGCTGGGGATTTGGCTCAGCAGCATAAGCACCTGCCTTGTAGTCATGAGTTCAATCCCTGGTATCAAAAATAACTAAGTAAAATAAAATAAAACTCTTGTTTTTCTTAACCAATCATTTAAAAAACAATTTCCCTACTCAAAAAAAATTAAAAGGAGTGTTCCCAAGAGATATCTATATGCATATTTACAACAGCATTATTTGCAATGTATAAAACAGGGAAGCAATCTATGTGTTACTGAAAGATAACTGTATAAGAATATTACTCAGTCTATAGAGTAATGCAATATGTCAAAAAACAGATGAACCATGAGAATACTATACACTAACTAAAGTCAGTTATAGAGAGATGAATATTGTACATTCCAATTATGTAATGTAAACTCAGAGTAATCAAAACCATAGGGACAGAAAACAGAACAGTGGTTTCAAGGGATTGGGGAATGAAATGGGGAGTTAACTGTGAACTAGATACAGTGTTTCCATTTTATAAGATGAAGAGAGTTGTAGAAATGGATGGCGGTGACACACGCACAACATTACAAATGTATTTAATACCACTGACTGTACACCTTAAAATGGCTAAGATAGAAAATATTGTTACGTGTAATGTATCACGATAAAAAATTGAAAGGAAAACTCTCAACAAGTCCATTTTTCTCCAGATCTGCTTTGCCACCCTTCCTTGGAATGCCATTTGGACTCAGACTTACCACTAGATGCAGATCAGCTGATGTTACTTCATAAATACATACATTTTTAATATTTTTTGCTATGCTTAGATCTATGATACAATCTAAAGTCAAACAGCTAGCTGAGCAGGTTAAAAAAGTAAAAGCAGAGTCTAGTTAAACAACCACACTTTCTCTTGTAAGAATTCATTATTTGGAGGCAAAAAAGAACAGAAGTGAACATTTAATCATACCTGAGAGACTGATCTAGTGTCATTCCCGTAAAATCAAAAAATTTCAGATATTCCTCTGCAACTAGTCTGCTAAATTCATTGCTATAAGAAAACAGAATAGGTTTGGTTATTGAAGTGAAAATTTAAAATATACACATGCATGCACACACACGCACACACATGCGTGCGTGCACATACACACAGACTCACAAGTACAAGCCGTTAGTCTTGAGTTAAAACATACTTTTTGCCCAGGTGTTTGGCGACATCTGATCTTTTGAATCTGTCCAGTTGGTAAAGACGTTTAGCCAGTCTTTTAGCGGCTTCCACGTTGCTGCTCGTACCATTACTGAGGCTCTCTGTAGGCTCTTTTTCCAGAATGTGAGTACTCCCCATTTCAGAAGGATCCTCTAGCTGTGTTTTTTTCACCCCAGCATTGCTAGAAAAATTGATTCAAAGAAAGAAGATATAATAATGGAAAATATTTTTATTCTATGGCAAACAAGGAAAATATCTGAATAAATCAGCACGATAATGTAGAACAAAATGAAAAGCTTTACATGAAATCATCAAATTATACTTACATAATCACAGAACAATTTTCAGCTAGTATGTTTCAAAACACTAACAAGGCAATCACCTCAATCGTAGATATCAGACTTATATCAAAGTTATCAAAAAGTTATCAAAAGTTGTCAAACTTTTTGGTCTCAGAACCCTTACAGTCTAAAAGTCGAGGAGCTTCTGTTTATATAGACAAAAGACACTACTAATAATTAAAACAAAAATTTTAAATATTAATTCCTTAAAAATAATAAACCAATCTCCTGTAATATGTCCTATTTTATTAAAAAAACAACTTTCCAAAACAGAATAAAATCTAGTGAGACAAACAACAGTGACTTATATTTCTTATAAATTTCTTTCATGGATGGATTAACAAAGGAAAACTAGGTTTTCAAAGCATAAAGCCACTTTTACATTCACTTTATAATTACATATCCTTAGGGTTAGAGTACATTAAGAAAATGTCTCTCACAGATATCCAATTGGAAAAAGGAAGAGTATTTTAGATAACTGTTCTTTTTGAAAAAAACATTAAAATAAGACAACTGGCAGTTTCTTAAAAGTTAACTGAAATGTAGATTTCTGGTAAAGTTCCTTTTGCATTCTTACATTAATACCCATGCTATACTCTGAGTAGGTCTTTTATCTATGTATACCTATTTCCTAGTGCTATGTGGACTGGTTAATGATCTCAGCACATTTCATTTTACAGTATTAGAAATGTTAATTACATTAATGTCACCAACATACAGAAGAGTCTGTAAGTACTGGGAAGCTGTCAGACTTTTGATGGTACACAAATTTTGAATTTTTGATCAAAAGGTTAAACTTAACCATTGGCTGAAAATATTGTCAGTGTTTTCTATAAAGTGACAGGCATCAAAATGATTGCAAATACCACTGTTTCTCAAGATTTCTATCAAGAAAAAGTGACTTTCTAAATTTTCTTATGCCCCAACTCAGATTACATTATGGCATTTCCTAAAGACAACAGAAAGAGTAGTACTTAATTCCCATTTTATTATGCATGAATTTTAAGCCAAGATTGATTACGAGAGATAATGAAAGTCTCTATATTCTTACAAAGGGAACAAATAGGAGCAAGAGATAACAATCATAAATATACATGCAACAAATATCAGTGCATCCAAATATATAAAACAAATACTAACAGGCATAAAAAATCAAATAAACCCTAATACAATTGCATTAGGGAATCTCAATACTTCACTGTCACAAGAAGACAGAAAAACTAGCAAAAATAACCCAGCAATGAAATGTCAGAATTAAACCAACCTCTTGGACAAATAGACTTAGTAGATGTCTACAGAATGTTCCACTCCACATCATCAAAATACACATTCTTCTCAAAGATACAAGGGATGTTCTCAAAATAGATCACATTAGCTCACAGAACTAACTTGCTCTTGGGTAGGAAGAACCAATATAGTGAAAATGGCCATATACTCAAAACTGTTATACAGATTTAATGCAATTTCAACCAAAATTTCAATATTATGTCTCACAGAATTAGAAAAAACAATTTGAAAATTCACTTGGAACCAGAAGAGACCTAGAATACTGAAAGTATTCTGGGCAATAAAGGCAAGACGGGACACCACAATTTCTGACTTAAAATTACACTATAAGGCTACTATGATAAAAAAACATGGCACTGGCAAAAACTAGACCTGAAGATCAAAGGAATGGGTTAGAAGATGCAGAAAGAACTCCAGGCACACTGTGCCACTTTATCTTTGACCAAGGTGCCAAACACTTTCACAGGAAAAAAGATAGCTTCTTTATAATATATGGTGCTGGAAAAACTGGTTCTGCATATGCCAAAGATTAAAATTGGACCCATATTTTGCACCATACACCAAACTAAATTCAGAATAGACCAAAGATCTAAATGTTAAAACAAAAGCATTAAATCTGCTGCCACACAGAATAGGTGAAACTCTTGAAGACACTGGTGTAGGAAAAGACTTTATGAATAAAACTCGGATCATGCAGGAACTATCACAAAGAATCAAAAACTGGAATCTCACTTTATTGAAAAGCTTTTTCACAAGAGAAATCACTAAAAGAGTTAAGAGACAACTCACAATGTGGGGAAAAAATGTTTTAAGCTCTTCCTCAGACCAAAGATTACTATCGAGAACATACAAAGAACTCCAAAAAAAAAAAAAAAATCAGAACTCCCAATTTTAAAAACCCGATCCAAAATGGGTGTCTTGGATGAATACACACTTCTTAGATGAAGAAATACAAACAGCAAATAAACATAAGAAAATGTTCAACACCACTGGTCATTCAAGAGATGCAAGTTAAAACAACACTCAGATTCTACCTCATCCAGAAAAGAATGGATATTATCAAGAAATAACCCATTGTTATCAACCAATAACAAACGCTGGAGGGGCTGTGGGGAAAAAGAGCCTTTCTTCACTGTTGGTGGGAGTGCAGACTGGTGCAACCACTTTGGAATCAGTATGGAGATTCCTCAAAAAACTAGGATTGGTGGTCTCAGAGGACCCACCTATTTCCTTTCCAAAAAACATTATAACATGCATGTACCCATGTTTGTAGCAGCACTATTTGTAATAGCCAGATCTTGAAAATAATCTAAATGTTCATTAACCAAAGAATAGATAAAAAAAAGTTGTATTTTTATACAGTGGAGTATTACTGAGCCATAAAAAATGATAAACTTGAGACATTCAGACGTAAATGGATGCATCTAGAGACCATACTTGTAAGTGAAATAAATCAGATTTGTGAGTCTGAGCATCATATTGTGACCCTAGAGTGAGAAGCTGATAGAAATAATAAAAGATAGCTAAAATAGTTACGCTACTAATTTCTCTTAGTTCACTGAAAAGAAAGGTTTGCGCTAATACTGTTTGGACAATTAAATGCAGATATCTTGAACAGTAAAGATAGCAGCATGCAAAGTATTAACCTTATTACTCTTTTATTATCATGTTTTGAAATTGCATGTTTTTCCTTTTAAATAAAAAAATAAAAAGAATTGAAGTGTTGAAGTGTAATAAAGTTAACTTGTTCTGAACACTTTTAGGCAAAATTGGCCTTCATTTTCACGTGACTGGAAGGCAAGGACAAAATGCAATGAGGAAGAGAACAGTTTGGTGCCCCCACTGTGATTTCTGCTAAGGCCCTGACTGCTGCTTTCACGCTATGTAATACTGCCACAGTGAAGAAAAGAACTTTGTCCTCACAAACCTACTAAAGGAAAGGACCCCCACAGGCCACATTTGAGAAGCTCTGCTCTAGAGAGGTCACAACCTATACAGCCCGAGGCCAGCTGCAAAGTGTTACCTTATGTAGAACACTAAAACCAATTACAGGAATGGCCAAATCTTCCTTTTTCTCTGGGCCACAAAGGCATGTTCATGATAAATGTCTTCTAACACAGTTGCCATAGAGTTTGCTTAAATCAGCACAGTCAGAATTCTGTGTAGTGAGCCACACAGTAAATACTTTGAACTTGCAGGCTCTGTAAAGTTTGGATTGCATACTCTGCTTTGTTGTTTTGTTGCAACTTTTACAAACACAAAAGCTATTCCTGGCTTGGCTGAATTGGGCTCCTCCTCATCTGTCCCTTAGTTCTTTAACGTGGTCCATACAATAAAAGAGTAACACGTTACTGTCTATATTAGGGCACTCTGAAGAAATAGCAGAGATGATAAAGTTATTAAGTATGCAATTATAATTTTTACAAAATGTTCCTCTCGTGGGTACAAAGCTTCATTTTGGCGTGATGACAATTTCACTAAGATAAATAAAATAACACTAACAACACCGAATGTGCTAAACCACTGAAGTTTAAACATTAAAAGAGATAAATGCATGGTATTTGAGTGGTAACTCAGAGTGGCTATATTTTTTAAAATTTGAGATAGAAAAATAAGTTATAAATTCATACAGTGTAGTAATGATGAAGAGCACTGTAGCAAATGCCAACAGATCTATAAACAGAGGATACTGTCAGTTACTTCCCCCAACTGACAGCTTTCCATTTTCTGCAGTGACCGCCCAACTAGGTGATCAGGCCACTTCGTTGTCACTGAGAATACAGAAGGGCTACCTGTGACCAGCTGGGGCACCAGGGATCTGCAGAGAACTCACTTTCCAGCCACTATCAACTTGAGAGAACTGGTTGCCCCTGGCAACGCCTCTGCAGGCACATGTCATCAGCAAGCACCTCAGGAGTCACCTTGAAAGGTAAGGAGGATAGGGAAAGAGGGACAGGACCTTTCCAATTCAACCACAGGTGAAAGTTTCACGTCAGCTCACACATTCCCAGGGGACACCAGGGAAGATGCCCGGGTACACGGTAGCTATCAACCATGCTGCATGATTTCACTGCAACTATTAGTAATAGTTAATTTTTTAAAAAGTCTGAGTCATATACTAAACCATAATCAATGTAAGAACAACTGGCATAAACTGGAACAGATCCAGGCAAACCAGTACACTGGAATAGATCCAGGCAAATCAGTAAGCCACCTCGATTTCCTAAGAGAAATATCTACCAATTGCAATAGATTGCTTCATTATGGTAAAATCTTCATGAAAATAAATTTAAATATTTTTTTATCCCGTCCCTACCTTTCTAAAGCTAACATTATTGGCTAGTTTTGTAAAACTTCATAGTAATTTCAAGAGCAATTTATTTTTTGTTTTCTCACATTAAGTGTTGGCATGTAAAATACTCCTCGAACACACATTTCACCTTATGTTCTTTACATGGACCAAGAAGGTGTAATTTTAGAAGATATGTGTGTTTTACTTCTCTGGATCTTCCTTTAAAAATATAAAACAAAACAAAACAAAAACTTCAGTAAA